AACCAATGGCGGCGAGTTTGGATTTGAGATGAAGCCACCAGCAACGGCTGGCTTGCTTGGTGCCATAGAGAGCCTTGCGGAGCTTGAGCACACAGCCCGGGGAAACATTGACACCTGGCGGAGGACGGATATAGATGTCATGATCAATATCACTATGAAGGAAAGCGGACTTAACGTCGAAAGAAGCCACCGGCCAGTTAAATCTAGAAGCCATCGCCAATAACAGCCGCAAAGAAGAGAAAGTAGGAGTCGGAGCAAACGTCTCCCCAACATTTACGCCATGAACTTGGCGAAATCCTTGAGCTACAATGCGGGCTTTGAAACGCGTGATAACACCCTCTTGACTTCGTTTCAATGCAAACACCCAGCGACAAGTCAAAACTTCCAGATCATCCGACAAAGGGACTTCTTGCTTGCTTGGTGCCATAGAGAGCCTTGCGGAGCTTGAGCACACAGCCCGGGGAAACATTGACACCTGGCGGAGGACGGATATAGATGTCATGATCAATATCACTATGAAGGAAAGCGGACTTAACGTCGAAAGAAGCCACCGGCCAGTTAAATCTAGAAGCCATCGCCAATAACAGCCGCAAAGAAGAGAAAGTAGGAGTCGGAGCAAACGTCTCCCCAACATTTACGCCATGAACTTGGCGAAATCCTTGAGCTACAATGCGGGCTTTGAAACGCGTGATAACACCCTCTTGACTTCGTTTCAATGCAAACACCCAGCGACAAGTCAAAACTTCCAGATCATCCGACAAAGGGACTTCTTCCCACACCCGAAGTTGGAGCATCATCTCAATTTCCACGTCACATGCCTTCAACCACTCCACGCTAAATTCCGACCTCATTGCCTGGCCATAGGTGTTAGGAGCATCAGAGAGAAAAGGAGAAATCGAAACCGCAGACGCTAGGCACGCATCTTGGATCTCAAGCTCTTTGATCTGAGAGAAATCGCCTAGATTGCAGGTTTGGATGGAGTTGAGAACTGCGTTGAGGGTTCCAGAGTTAGTGAGTTGAGACGGCAGGTCGTCTTCATGGAATATGACAGAGGCCCCGACCTCCAGCTTCTTTGATACTGGATTCCAGAGCAGCCAACCGTGAGAAGTGTCCGAAATTCCGACGTGGATTAAGGGGGTGGACCGTGGAACAAATTGCTTTGGATATTTGATATTATGCAAGTAAGCTCGACACCCAAAGACCTTGACCATGTCCAAAGACGGAGTCTTGCCGAGGCAGAGTTCGTAGGGCGTTTTAACAGCATCGTCATGAACAATTCGATTGAAAATGAAAGCAGCTTGTTTCAACGCAAGAAACCAAAGAGTATTGGGGAGTTTAGCATGTACAACAAAAGTCCGAGCCATATCGAGAAGCGCGCGGTTGGTTCGCTCAACAGCCCCATTCTGGTGATGTTCATAAGGAACTGACATTTCATGTCGAATATCGTTCTTCTTAAGGTAGTCATTGAATTTATTGGAGATGAATTCCCCACCGCAGTCCGAACGAATGCATAACACGTCATGAGAACAGTGTTTCTTGAAATTCTCAATCCACTTGATAACTTCCTTAGCCGCAAGATCTTTAGACTTGAGACCAAAGACAGATGTCATACGAGAGAAGATGTCGTGTACAATGAGCCCATATGTGCTACCATCTAAGGCAGCAGGAAATGGCCCTACAAGGTCGACTGCAACAATTGCTCCTGGTTTGTCCGCAATACAACGAGGCGGAGATTGAACCGGCTTGTGGATGCTCTTAGCCAGGGAACATGAATTGCATTTCCCATGGAATTGACGAAACGGCTTGTCAGGTAGTCCAGTGACACAATTATTTTTGATTGATTTGTTGAGAGTCCGCATTGCCAAATGGCCCAATCGTGCATGCCACATAAGAGAAGAGATTGAGGAAACATGATGAGAGGTAGAAGAAGAACAATTTGGCCGAGTCGAGGAAGAATGAAGAGACGAAGAGATAAACCACCGATAATTGTCGGAATACGAGGGAAACAAAGACCGTTGTTGTGAGAAAAGAAAAACACCATCACGATAATCCACACTACCGTCCCACTTGTCGAAAAAACCAATCGAGAGAACAGTTCCTCGAACTTGCTTGCAGAGAAGAACATTGGACAGATACAGAAAACCGTGGGCCGTTGGAATTTTGGCATCCCCAATACCGTCTACGGGAATGCATTCTTCAGATGCAACGCGGAGTCGGATATTAGCGGGGCGAATAGTGGTGAAAAAAGATGAATGAGACGTTACATGATTCGTAGCGCCTGTATCACATAAGATATCCCCCTCTTTGTCGGGATTTGCCGAGACTGAAGCCAAAGTGCCGTTGGAAACAACCAAACGTCCAGACAAGACACTTGACTTCCTTGGTTGCCAACCCGGGTTACCAAGACGAGGATCATCCAAAGGCGGGAGTCCGCGTTTTACTCTAGGGCAATCTTGAGCCCAATGACCCCATTCCCAGCACATGTTGCAGGGGAAAGCCGCCGTCAAGTATTTCTGACCCCATGAGTCAGCGGGAGGATCAGAACGACCGGAAGACCCTCGCGATGCCTGAGCTTGTCCATTTCCACGACCACCTCTAGCGGAAGCATAGCCACGACCGCGCGATCCCCGACCCGAGTGGCCTCCACGCTGGGAAGACATGCCCATTAAAGACGAGGAATTAGCCGACGATTGTTGAAGGTGGCAAGCCATATTCAAGATCTCTTCCGAGTTGATCTGGAGGTCGGGCTGGATGGCAAGTCGCGAGTTGATGGCGTCGGTCAGCGGCTGCCGGAAGTTGCGGAGACTGGAATGAAAAGAGAGAGACAGCAACTTATCTGCTGTCAAACCTCCCAGTCGCTCCTCAAGGTCGAGCCAGCTCCTCTTGAGCGATTCATAGCTGGCTGAGACAGAATCTGATGCGTCTGGGGCCTGCGCAACGTCAGACCATCGACTGAGGAGGAGCGACCAAGAGGTCTTAGAGAATCGCCCCTTAATTGAATTCCAAGCCCCATACGCTGTCATCCCGTTGAGCGATGAGCGTAGCGCCGGATCGATTGAGTTCTTGATGAGGGCAACGACACCGGAGGATGTACTCGGATCCTTCTTCGACAGGTCTTCTTTGAAATAGTCGACGGTCTTGGTCACCGACGCCACGACATCCTTCAACGAGGCCGCCCATAGAGGGAAGTTTGATCCATCAATCGAGAGTTGAGGTTGAACGTCCTTACCCAACTGTTGCCACTTGAGGAGCGAGGCAACAGCGGACTGAGAAGAACCGGAGTCGTTTTTGTCCCCCATCATGTTGCGGAGCAGGAGGAGTTTGAGGAGGTCATCGTTAAAGCCCGCTAGTCCGTCTTTCCTGAACGCTTGCTGTAGGAGATCATCAAACGAGAGAGCCGGAGGAGGAGTTTGACGTTCATCATCCGTGGCCGATTTGTGGTCTGAGGAGGATGACGATGTCGTCGATTGGCGAGGAGGGTTCAAGGGGGGGATGGCCGAAGTCGAAGCAGACGGACCAGCAGCGAAACTGGAAGGCAACGCGGTCAAGGCAGACGGACCGGCGGCAAATTTCGTGGGAAAAGAGAAAGATGGAAGGGGGGGGTAGATCGACGCATAAGAAGTCGTAGGCGGAAGTTGGGGAACCTCCGGGTCGTCATCCGACGGAGGAATCGGAGGATCGTTTGAGGACATCGTCGAGGAAGGTGAGAAGAAATTAGAGGATGGTGAGGGCGATGGAGAGTTCCGTCGAGGTGGGGTTACCCGAGCCGAGAAGTCCGGAATGAGTGGAGGAAGACCCGTTGAACGGGTGTTGACCATACAAAAAATTGAGGAATCGGAAGCAAGAATATCAAGGTTTAGAATGAAAAATTCAAGCTTCTAGCGTATAATAGATATCGACCGAAGAGACTTAGCCGAAAAATCTAGGAGATGGGTGGGAAGGATATCGACCAAAAGTGTTGCCGAAAAATCCAATAGTTCAAGTCGGTAATGTTTCGAAAGATATCAATGATTTACTGAAAAATCTTGCGGCGATTTGTAACGTATAAAGCTCTTTTAAAAACCTCGCTGGTAACAGCGCAGGCTCATAACCTGTAGAGCAGCGTAATAAAAATATGAGAATAGTGAAACTCCCCCAAAGGGAAAAACTGTATTTCGATGTAGATAGACTATTTATACTATTTACAAGTATGTATTTGGGTAGATGAGAAACTAGAAATAAGTGCATATATGGAATATGTATATAAGTGTGAGAAAATATGTAGAAAATATGTAAACTATGTGTATGGGTTATGTAATAATTTGTAAGTACATAGTCACGTGACAACACACATTCCGTCTACATAGGCAACCCTTCTCCCTGTCGTAAAGCGCCTAGACCAAAGACCGCAGTATTTTTAGTCACCGATTGCCACGCTGTTTTGCAACACTCAATTCACTCTCGATTGCCTTTTCTCCGACGCCTCTTAGAGCATCATTATCGGTCGCTAAGTTAGCTTGAGTTAAGCCACTTACCACCAAACTTCAACCGCACCCGACCGAGCTAAGTTGGTGATAACTTGCCTCGATGGTCCGTTTTCAGCTAACCGTTGGTAACTGTAGCAATGGTTACCAACGTAGTTAGCGAGTGCGATCACTCCAACTTGGAGTCCACCCGCCCACACTACACACCACCACTCCAAATCACACCCGGCAAACTACACCGGTGCGACTGAATGGGGGTCGATAAGTTAACTTGCCAATTCATGCGAGTTAAAACTCGCGTCAACTTATCGAACCGATAATGATGCTCTTAATGGTGCTGCTAGACTGCCTGTGTTTCGCAATATAAAATGCCCGAGCCTCTGGTACTCGTCCTTTTCTTTCCTCCATCCCTTACAGCCATTCCATACTCTCATCATCCACTTTGTTCTTAACTTGTATAAAATATAAGTATATAGCTTTCTTTCGATTGAATCTTTACTGTGTCTATATAACAACATCCTTCACCTATCATCATCAACATCTTGATCGACTTTTTCTTTGGCTTTTTCGACTTCCAAATTCCTCAGTAGCATAAAACGATGGCTTTCTTACGCGAATTGATGTCTATCCTGATGGTGAGTATCTGGGTGGGGACGGTGATGAGCGCTACGACGACGGCAACGAATGCGTTAGATGTGAGCCAGAAGGGTGCCGCAGGCTTACCGCCATCTAGCATGGCGGACGCGGTGGCTCAAAGCTTGGCCGCCAATCCGGGCGAACTCTCTGGAGCGTGTCGGCAAACTCTCGCCGGTTTTGCCAAGGATGAGGCTCTGGCGGTCTGCACCAATTTGCATCAGATGGTCCAGATCCGAACGTCCAAGGACTCCATCTCTGCCCCAATCAAGGTCAGGCAAAACTCCTCTTCTTGATGCCTTCTCGTTCTGTCTACTCCTTTCTTGGAATCCATACTTATATATAATGTCTTTCTACGCTCTTCTTTTCAGGCATGGATGAAGGGCATGTGTGCAGCTCCCGCCTGTGTTCCCGCTTCTCTTACCTCCGCTGGTGAACAATTCAAAACCGGTTGTGCTGCTGAAATGCAAAGTGGATCGATGGACGCTGCGGCCTTTTACTCAATCCTGACTACTTATCAAACAATCAGGTTTGTCAATCATACCGCAATTCAACTCTAATTAATCATTCCACAGTCACTTGAGCTTTCTACCCATCCATTAATTTTCATGACGGTTTGGCTAACCAAAAACAAAAAAAAATTCATTCGGTTGGATCTGATTCAGGACTGATGGTTGTCCAAATCTTGAGAAATTGGACTTGTGTGATCAAACCTTAGCCGGCCACATCAAGAAATGGACCAAAAAAGAGCGCCCATTCTTTTCAGTGCAAAAGGTGAGTAAGATAGATAGATTGACAAAAAAAAAGTTATTGGAAAGAAGAAATGTTCGCAAATCTGACCAATCATGCTTCAAATTTTAATTCAGGCGGCTTATTGTATGGAATGTGGACCGAAGATTGCAAACCAACCATCGCCGGAGACCAAATCGGGGAAAAACTCGACGAAGCATCCTCTTTGTCGCGGCACCGCTAGCGGCTCGAATACTGTGGATGGCTTGTTAGGCAAACCGATTGTCATTGCTCTTCCAGCTCCTAATGGATCGGCTAAACCTACCAAGCCAGCTAAATCCAGCTAGAACTGATAGAGTGATCTTATCTTGTTTGACTGCTGATGACTATCTTTTTCTCTCTCTTCTCTCTCGATGTTGTACATACAAGCCCACACTTGCAATTTAGAAGTCAAAGTCGTCGTGCTCTCAAATTGAAGTCACATACACATTTTTGAAGCTCTTGAGACATTGGCCTTTAAAAGATACCTACTTTCTTCTTCTTGGATCATCTTTTCGCTCGAGCATGCCTCTTGTGAGAGTGAACCACAGGATTCCCCTCGCGTGAAGGGCACTGCCCCGTCTGCTGGGACGCGGCAGTACATGGCAAGCTTGCTTTTTGTTCTCAAACGGCTTGTTGTGTCTTTTGCAGAGAAGATCACTACTTGGATGAGATCAGAAAACGCTGTTTCTGACTCTTGCAGAGGAAATCTCACCAGAGAAAATGGTCAGGTTTGTTGGTATGCTCGTTATCTGTTTTGCTTCCCTGCATACCCATACAATCCGCCGGAAATAAAACTGCTACATCCGACATCGTTTTCTCTCCAGCTGAAGGCTGTGCGACTTTCTCCACAATGTAAGACGAGTCTTCAGCTAGTCTTTTCTGCGCAATCAGCAAGTGAAAGTTCCTCCTGTATCCGTTGCGGACAAGCAAAGAACATGTTTAATTTCAGCGCAGGTTCAAAGCTTTGTATGGGATTTCAATCGGCCCGCTGACAACCAGCTTTACTCATAGTGAATCTCATTAATTGAGCTCTGCCCACGTAATAGGCAGCGTATAGCTTTGGGTATCTTTCCTTGACGTCCTCTGTCTCCACAACATCAAACACACGTTCAGCTGGTTTCTTCTGCGCAACCAGCAAGCGAAGTTCCTCGATCCTTTTCCCACAAGCATGGCACATGTTTAATCTCAGCGCAGGTTCAGAGTGGGGTGTTAAATTGCTATCAAATCGCATGAAAAAACAGCTCGACTTTTAGTCAAACTTAATTTCGTACATTGGGTTCGGTCCACATAGGCAACGTATGTATACCTTGGAGTATGTTTCCTTGACTTGGTCCCACCGACTTGAGTCACTCGCCCACAGAGTGCAAGAGTACCCTCGATGAAGCGCAATTTTGAATAAATGACTGTCGAGCTGAGCATAAAAGAGCTACTCTGGTGTGGCGATTTGAGCAGCTGATTCGTCCCCCATCTAGCAGTTCTCCCAAAGCACCCTTGGGCACCCCCACAAGATGCAGTTTTACGTCTTGTCCTTGTTAATTTTACTTTCATTGTTGATGCACATTGGCAGTGTGGAATACACTGATGAAGAGAAGATACTTGATCCTCTTCTCAAAGCCCCCCATGCTGTTGATAACCACATTACTGTAAGGCCAACTATAGCGGTTTGATCCACACAGCCAAGGTCTTTATAACTAACTGATAATTTTTCTAAAAAAAGATACCAAAAGAGCTTGATGTCAAACCTGGGAAGAATGTGCAGCCGCACCCTCAAACACCAAGTGAAAGTCAAGCTCTTGTAAGTCGCCATGTGTGAAGTTCCACAAATTCTTACTCACGTCAGCAAGTGAAGGAGAAACTTAGCAATTAGGTACCTGATGATATATTTTTAAGAGGGGGCCAACAAGAGGAGTCCCCCCATCATTTATCAGCCTGGAAAAAATAGACCAATTTTTTGAAGATCTGTTGGTGAAAGAATCACATTCTGGTAAAGTTGACAGAGTGAGCAGGGTCAAATTGTCTCCTTCAAGAACTTACTCACAAAAAAAAGGTTAATGATATTCTTGGGTTTTATAATTTTTTTTTAAAAAAAAAGGAATCTTCATCAGATTTGGGGAAGATTCTAAGTGAGTTAGGAAAAGATCTTTTGGTTGAAAGTGGAAGTGAAGATGCAAATGTGAGTATTTTGATGTTTGCTGATTCCACAAATCTCAAGATATATATATAAATGACCACTAATTTTGTGGCCCATTTCTACAAAACAAGCTAACAAAAAAAGAGGATTTGTCATTTTTTGGAAAAGAGTTGAATAGAGTTCTGGATGCTCTACTAGAAGTACCAAAAGACCATCATGAATCTGTAAGAAATATAAGAAATTCATGAGTTCCAAACATTTGATAGTCATACTAGGAAATTGTTTAACTTTCCAATCAAAAAAGTACCTGCATTTGGTAATAGATAAGTTAAATATTGCATCAAGCATAGGTTTGGATTTTTTGGTATATGATGCAGATGTAAGCATCTCAATAATTTTTGATATGAATTATTTTGATATGCAAGAACATTGCATCTAATGTTCTGTCTCTCAAAATTTCAAAAGGAAAAAAGGTTGTCATACATTGGGAAGACTTTGAAGTCATTTATTGATATATTGTTCAAGGATTTGGAAAAGGAACATGTAAGCAGTTTGTAACCCATGGGTAATTGACTGATGAGCAGAAATTAACAAATAATCCATGTATGGTTTTGTGAAGATAATAAACAAAGATATAGCTTCATCTTTGGTAAGACAAGCATTGAACCTAACATTTTCAGGGATTTTCTTCCAAGGTGCAATCCGGGAATTACATGTAAGCATTTTAGTTTAACTGCTATTTTCAGAGAATGAATTCAAATTTAACGCATTTCTGGATAGTCTGCATCTGAAACAATCAAGGAAAATCAATTGTTTGAATCATCATTTTTAACTTTGAAGTACATGATAGACAGTATTTTTGTATGTGTTTTAAATTTATCTTCTCTTCGAAACATAAAATACCAAACTTGTTTGTCCTTTCTTGTGAAGAAACTCAATGATATTCCAAGATATCTTGTGGCTAGGAAACCAATGGATGAATTTGCTCAGAATCTTTTCTCAAATCCAGAAAAATGGGATGATGTGAGTTACTGAAAAAAATGCTCAAAAAATGAAAATACATTCTGAAATTAATCTCTGACATCCAATTCTCAGTTTATTCCTGAGAAAAAATTCTTATCACCTTTGGGGGAAAGTCTGAACATATTTTTGATTGGTGTTATGGTTCAGGATTTCAATCTTGGTTTGGTAAGATTTTTGAAAACCAATTGATTTGAATGGTCCAAAGTGAATTTAACCTGATTTTTCAATTTGAAAAGTGCCAAAATGAAACTCTGTCACCTTTGGGGAAGAGGATTTCACAGCTGCTGGCTCTTTTAGATGGTGTTCAATCTGTAAGTAAAGTTTAACATGCTTCTTAATATGATTTGATAATAATAAGATTTCATTATTTTTCATCATGTTAAGATTCCAACAGGACCAGCTCTATCACCTCTAGGGATGAAACTCAAGAAATTTTTAGAAATTTTGGATTGTGGAAATGTAAGCAGGAGAGCTCAAATAAACCTAAAGATAAATTTCAATCATCATTTAAAAATTTTTGCTCTCTAGGAATCAAGAAGATCACAGAGCTTCACATCTCACATACAGAGGAGAGTAAATGTCTTTCTAAAGGAGTTTGCCAAGGAGGACCTCCAGACTACTACAGAAAAAACAACTGGATCATCAAAATTTCTGTTGGGAAAAATGCAAGTAGCCAATTTTTATAAATCTGCAGGAGAGGAAAAGCTATTGAAGAAACCAATAAGTAAGAAATTTCACCTCAGTAAAATTCAAATATTCAAATGATCATCTTTATTTAATGATATTGGTTGTTCCAGGAGAAGAGGCTATGAAAATTTTTCATAGGCTGTTCCTTCTTTGTGCTTTCATGAAGAAATCTGGCAAGGGTAGTGAAGCAGAACATCAAATTGAATACTGGTTGAGGAAAACACTATCTCTGGATTTCATGAATGGATTCAATTCAATTCAAGAAATCTTTTCCAAGGTTTATGGTTCTGATAAATATAATCCCACTAAGAAGGAAGTAATAAAACTTTCTGAAAAAATATTATGGAGAACTTGTTATGAGCTCATGCTTTCTCAAAAACTTGGGTCTTCCAAAAGCCTTGAAGATTCTGCTGATGCTTCACAAAAGGAACATATTTCCACTTGGGTGAAAGAAATCAAGGAAATCAATTCAAGATTAGATACTCTTGAAAATTTTGATGAAGAAATCAAGAATTATACTCATTTAAGTGGAAAATTCAAAAAATTCTTTGATTCCTTGGTACCCAATTAGAATTTGATGGTTTTACATAAATTGAGAAATTTATATATCTTTTCTCTCCCATTTTGATCTGTCAGCTTGATATTTTCAATGATATAATTATCTCCTATGATATGTTGAGTTATGCCCTCTATTAGCTCCCAAGCAAAGAAATAGCTAAAATTTGAAAATCTGGTCTGTTTTTAGATGTTTATAAGTCAGTTAATGTTAAAACTTAAAGGGATTTGGGGGTCATAATTCAAAGATATCATCCAAACACTTTCTCATTCTTACTGTGAGGAATGATGGGCATTTAGCATATTCTGTTGGGAATAGTGGTTGTCCTTTTTCCATGCCCAGAGTAGCTACACTATCATCATCCTAAAATAGATTCCCATTCTGGTTGAAAATTCTAGCATGTCAACATGCTAGAATTCAGATTTATTTTTTGAAGGCCAGTGAGTGTTACCAGAATATTTCTAACAGAAAACATACAATACCATAGGAGTTAGAACTATTCTATTGCTAATGATGGCCCACAGATGCAATGTTGGAATCCTGTTCCTAGTAAGTTTCATAGGAGCAGAATATAAAGACTTTTGATTTGAGTGGTCAAGAAGAACAATGGATGACTTCCCGTCAAATCTGTGGGTCTCCCAGAAGCAATTTAGAGGCCTTGAAAGCTAGATTTCCCAGCGAAATTCTAGACTTCTTGGGTCTAAATCGACATCTGTGAGGGTCCCAGATCCGACGGGAAGTCCTCCAATGGAGGACTTCCTGTGGTCCAGATGGCTTGATTTAGAGGGACTGGCTAAGCTTTGTTTGCTTGTGAAATCTGAAGGTCAAACAATTTTCACCTGCAAATAAGCTTTAGCCCTTCCTTTTAAATTAACAAATTTGGTCAACAGGAAGTACTCCAATTCTCGTGATTGTTGCCAAGGCTAAAAACAGCATACAGCATTGTTTTTTTTTTTCTCTGGTAGCCCATGGGCAGACTGAGGTAACCTCATTTTGATGTTCAATCACTGGTTTACTTGCGATGTTTCTATTTTCTATCTCTTCAACAAACCTATCAACCCTTTCAAGTATGAATCATTCAATTCCAGTTCAGTGAGAAAATCATGGATTTTTCAACTGTGATTGCATATGTACTTCCGGGTCATTTTGTTTGACCACTTTTTAAAAGCTCAACAGGCTAGTTCACGCAAGCTTCACAGACTTCTAAAAAAAGTCAGGTTTGTTTCTTGATATCCGGGTTTTTTTAGATTCGGTCAGGGCTTAACCCGAGGATATAAATGAGTTGAATGGAACACAAAAATTGGACACTGCTAAGAGTGTCCATCTAATCATTTTTGTTTAAAAAGAAAAAAAATTGAAAGCGACATAGGTATACTATATGGTTTCTTGATAAACTTGTTATCTCACTTGAGTACATGGGATGCAAAGCTCATGGGATTCTGAACTCAGAAGGGCGCATGTCTCTTAATAAAATAAAAAAACTAAGAAGGTGGTTTCATTAGGGTACAACGTCCCGAGAGCGTTGCTGAAGACACGTCATTCTGAAGTGATATCAAACAAAATCAGTTGACAAAGTATGTGTTGAAGATGAAATGGAGATTGTACTCACGCTCATTGGAACCCCAGGCTCGCAACAGTTCGTGGATACGGAAGGGTCGCAGAATTTGAATGTCCGCGGTTTAGCTTTATTCGGGCACTCTGCTCCAGTGACTTTGGATTTGAATTAACAAAGTCGATTTGGTTTTTTTTAGTGAAATGGTGTGATGGAATATTGTTTTGAGTAAGGATACTAAGACGAAAAACTAACGTTGCCAGTTGGCTGTAGCTGACAAAAGGTCGACGGAAGAGCAAGCACCGATAGGGCGGTTCACTGGGCAATCAAACAGCTTCGCTTGACTGTTTGGAGGCCCGTAAATTCCAAGGAATAAGATGCTTGCTGATAACAGATATTTCATGGTGGACAGGCGAAGTACGTCTTGGATAGATTCTCGGCAGTTGAACGGTGTTTTGAACGGGTTTTGGTGAAAAACGTGAATCAAGGATAGCGAAACAGGCCGATAGAAGTGTAACAGTGGAAGTCGGTGAGGTGGGTAGGTTGGGGTGGGTTTGACGGCGAGACAACCGAGCCTTTTTATACATTCAGATTGTGACTTGGGAAGGGATTGGGAAATGGAAACGCGGCCGCCTGTAACTAGCCAAAACGCTATGTACGTGAACCGAGCTGATTGTGGCGGAAGAAACGGTTCACCTTAAATGTGGCACACATTGCAAATAGTGCATACACCCAAGAGCCCAAGACTTTTACTGCAACTGTGGCGGATGATGTCTGGAACCGGAACCATCTGGTAGAGTGGGCCCCGCGAGAAGTTGAGTTGCGTGTTGCATTGGTGTTGTTTACATATGCGTTCGGCAAACAAACAAAAAAAGACCCGACCATCTGGAAAGGATGGGAATAGCCGGGAGGGGAGAGTTATTGATCCAAAAAGGGATTTCAGAAGCAGGGTTCAAACAGAAGATTGGAAGCTGCACTGCAGCAGTCTTCCATGCTCTGACCATCTGAACATATAAGATACTCTAGGCTCAACACTGCCCGACGAGTAATGACCAAGTGGACGGTTTGACAACGGGCTCGGCCTTATAAACAGCCCGCCAGCCTCGTGGACAACATACCGGTGGCTCACATGCCGAAGCTTCTAATTATCACTGGATGTGTGACCAGGTGCATCAAATGACGATCTTGGTGAGCCTTACAGTGGGCGAATCCAAAGTTGTGCTTCCTGCCCCGGACTCAACATTCAGAGCCATCGCCTGCCCCTAACTTGACTAAGTCCCCATGGGAAGGGGGACAATGTCCCGCAGGAACCCTCCCTCCGCCTCCCTCCGGTCGGCGCAGGGCGACAGATGGTTTACCACTCCGACAAAGGAGGGTAGGGACTTGTTAAGTTAGCGCCTGCCCTAGGCAAAGACTGCGAAGCACGACCTGGATCCCGGTTTCGGCAGGGAGATTGTCAGATAGATCAGGCTATCCTGGACTCTTGACAGAGAGAAGCATCTGCTGTCTCATGCGTACCCTTCCCTACCCGCGTCTGGCTTAAAAGGCGAGTATCAAATTGTTCTTCTTATGCAGGCATACGACTTTCAATCCGATAGGTTTCGTTGCGCGGGGTGGAATACGTGCTTATAAGTGGGTCTTGAGGATCCGGCCCGCTCTTTCTTCACAAGAGCCAAATCAAATCAATACCAACTGGAAACGTTAAGGAAGACTCGCAAAAAGAATCCTTTGGCCGACCAGGAACATGTCAGATGTCTGTCTTCCAAGTGACCCGGTGATTATAGAGCCCGCCCTGCATAGTCACAGCGGCCACACTTATCGCCGCGCCTTCAGCCATTTGCGCCGTCTATGCAAGTCATTCCTTACCCGAACCCAGAACGTTTGAGAAGTTTGTGAGACAACTATGTAACCCAACAACGAGTGTCCTTTTGGATTCTTTGTTCAAGATGTCGTATATATTGACTGGATATATATATATATATGAGCAGAAACTCTGGGTCTCTTTCTTGACTTTTGAATTACAACAAACAAAACAGCTGTTCTAATAGGAGAGATCTCGGGGTATAAGAAGGGTGCGTACAACAACAAAGTGTGAAAAAAAACGTTCGGGGGCGTGGATGCATGCCCATGGGAGATATAGAGTGGGAGGGAGGGAGAGAGAGGGCTATTGGAGTGAGATCAAGCCATCGAGGCGGCCGGGGAGGGATCTTCTGGTCCAGAGACCGCGCCAGAAACGTCAATGGTTGGTGCGCCTATCTCGGGACCATTTGAATCGATCATGTGGCCCGGATCTTCGGCGGATACTTGTTCCGGTTGAACTACTAAGATTTTGGAGAAAAAAAGAGTGATCTAGAACTCATCAGACAAAAGAGAAAAAAAAAGGAAGGTTATCCCAGGAAGTTTGGAAACCCACGGTCTGATTGGGCTCCTGACGTGTTGGATAGCGGTGCTGATAAGCCTTGGTCTGTCTCCTCTAGGCTCAGCTCAGGAGCTTGGGTGGGGTAAACGATCGACGGGATCGGTTGGGAAGTGTTGGGTGTAGCCCCGAGCAACGGTTGCTGATCTGTGGACGAGGTATAAGATGGTTGAGTGAGTTCTGCGGTAATTCTCAGACCGGGAATATGGTCTGCGGACAGATCATTCGTAGATGTTTGCTGGCCCGGGGGAAGGATTGAGGAGGTGGTGGACAAGGGGGCAGGTTCCGAATGGGAAGAGTAGGGGGCGATCATGACGGCCTGTTCGCGGCCGTCTTCGTCCTCGTCTTCGTCCATCGGGAATGTCTGACTCTGAGGCTCCTGGTCAACGGCGGTCTGATCCCCGAGCTCCTCCTCTTCCTCATCGTCTTCGTCGATCTCGATCTGCTCAGCAATCTGGCCGGTCTCGAGGCCGGCCAGCTGGCCGCCGACCCGCTCAGTATCCTCGACGGCCTTCGACGTCTTCCGTTCCATCTTGAGGCCCTTGTGGCTCCTCGCCGACGAGGGCTCGTTGGTCTCCTCAGCCTCGCCCGTCGATCGGCCCCGCCCCGAGCCCACAACGTCTACTTCCGACTCATCCCCCTCTCGTTCGTCCCCCTCCTCTTCCTCCTCTTCCTCGTCCGTCGACGCATCAATTTCGTCTGCCTCCTCGAAAAACCCCTCCAGCTGTCCCACCGAGCTCGTCGTACCTGGGACCATGTCTCGTGGGACCCATTTGAGAACCTTGTAGGCCGAATCCGCCCGCAGCTGGACCCATCCTCGGCGATACCGCTGTACCGGCGCTAGTAAGGCCTTCCGCCGGGCCCTGTAGGAACATGTTCGGCTCTCGATCAGTTTCTCCTCTTACCGGTCTGACGGTGGATGAAACAGGCCCTGATCGAAGAAATATTACTGACTGTAGCTCCGCAGAAGATACCAAGGTCGCTGGGTGTTTTGATTTTTTTTTTCAACCAATTCGAAGGGCGAGATCAATCGTCAGAATGTGGAGCTCGTGGGGAAGACAAACCAACAAGATAGGAAGGAAAGTGTGGAATGCGCATATATTCTATGTAGTAAGAGAGTCATGCATGCAGGTGTAAATGTTTAGAGGGAGAATCGGATATGTTCGTTCCGTCTGACTGCTCCTCAAGCTCGGGGTCAAACCGACAAGGCACCACCATCGTCACTTTCCAAACAGAGGCTGGTTAATATTATGTAGAACATCCACTACATATTATTATTTTTTCGGTTTTTGGAAGTTGGAAACTACAAATTGATATGTACAGTTCGTTCCAGTTGTTCGATGAGATTCTTTAAACCTCTCCAACTGATCTTGCATGCAGCAAACAAAGGAGGATCTCCAATCCGATCGTCCATCTTCGTCACGGAGAGGAGCGGGGCGAGTCATACCACACAAATATGTGTGTAAGATTCGGATTCTTTCGTCATTATAACATGGCCATTATCCGGGGGAGCTCGAGTGTGTACATAGGATCGATAGATATTTGCAAGAAGAACGTCGTACCACTGACCTTTTCGTTCTCGCCAGCGACTCGACATCCTTGCTTGAAGTTCTGTTTGTGAGGGGATGGTTGGTTGTCTTCCTTCGAGTGTGGTGGGTCTTGGTGGTGGCTTGGCTGTTCTGTTCCCTCCGCAGAAGTCTTCTACCCCGTGCATACAGCCACCTCACCCCCCGAGGGGACCTGGCTTGGCGCATTCCGAACACCCGGGGGCGGCGCCCCCGGTTGAGAGCGAAAAAGCCCTTATCAATAATTTCTGGAAAGGAGTGAATACTTCATCACTCTTCAGCTGAGATCGGCCATGCTCTGTAATTGAACTACTTTACTAAAGTTCAAAGAAGGGAAACACAAGCCAATACATATGAATCTGTTAGCAGTTTCCAAAAGAAACTTCTTGAAAATTCATCCTCCCAGAACACACCCAAATGATTTTATTTGAAGAATTTTGTATTTTGATTATGTACTGATTCAATACCTACCAAAAAAACTGAATTTGTGGGTGTATAATGTTTTGATTTAGGAATTCATTGATTTACAGAGCTCAAAAAGACTTATGATGCAATGTTTCAACTGATGAAATCAGATGCAATAATACCAAGGCCCAGTTTAGACATCCCATTGCATCTCACAAGTGGGAGGCCTCCCATCATAAACCAAACACAGCCAAATTTACATAACCTAAAAAATATCAATTGAGAAGAGAAGATGATACCAAGCTCAGCAATTTACCAACAAGCTTGAAATCAAATTTGGGTGATTTGAAATGAAGTTGATTGTAAAAATATGTAGTCCGACACATCCAAACATGGTCCAAATCAGCAGCAGTTGACATCTAGGGGCCTCAATCCATCCATCCAAATTCCAAATCTAATTTCTGCTACACACATCCAAAGCATCACAACAAAAAATAAGACATTTCTGGACAGTGACTGGTGTTGAGGTGGACCAGGCTGGGAGCTGAGAGTCACAGACATGAGTCTTGTGACAGATGACTGAACGCAAAGATAAAAGCAGTTAAAGGAGTCTGGATAGGACCCAGGAAACCCCCAAAGTATGTCAGTAACATAAATGTATGAATTTTTTCAAAAAAAAGCCAAATCATACACACAAAAGTGGTATGAATTGGTTTGGCTGGCAAAAATGTTACGCACAAAACACAGTTCAAATGTATGAAAATTGGCTCAATGTTGAGCAAAACCCGCCAAAAATGTCTAGTCCCCGCTTTTTTGGGGTGATTTTTCCTCAAGCATACACACAAAATGTGTATGGATGGCCCTGAAAATGCCAGTCCCCGGTGCCACCCAATGTATGAATTTACCAAAAATCCAGGGATTTACGTTACTGACATTTTTAGGCGGTTTCCTGGGTCCTGTCTTGTCAGCCTCTGGGTAACTAACCTGAGTATTTAATAGTAAAAAGGTTGTTACTATGAGTTGACTGAAGTTTTGAGCGTGGTGAGTGTTAGGTAGTGGGTGATTAATACCAGTCCTGTAAAGAGGAGGTTTCACTCTATCAGTATGGTCTTTACTGAGAGGCTTGCTATCAACAGCGCATCCGGATCAATACAAGGTATTAATAGGCATCCAGGGTACTAAGACTCACCTGGGATTGATTTGGTTATTCCCAAAAGGGAATGGGCTAACAATACTTATTAAGCTTTAACAAAATTAGTTGAAGACTAGTATTTGCCCCCAATTTTGGGGAGGTTGCTTGATTTTGCCCCGAATGTTGGGGGGTTTTACTTGATGACCTTCTGCCCCTTTCAGTGTATTGCTTATGAAATGAAATGGGCACCTGTCTCAGTCCAACGTCGGCGTCGACAAATGTGAATTGGAGGTTGACACCGGCGTTAGATTGCATGACACTTTGTTTGGCTCTCTGAGCCTATTCTTTTAGTTATATGTAGATTAACAGGTATTGTTGATGGGAATATTCAGCAAGGCTATGAATACTGTGGATAAGTTGAGTAAGAGTACTGAAGCTTAAAAACAATAAATGTAGACAAGATTTATGTTGGTTATTTTTACTGTATCAATATAAATGTTAACTGGTTTAACTGGTGTCTGAATATTCTGGGGATTAATCAGTGAAAGAGGCACGGATTATAAGTTCCAGAATACTGAAGGAGGGAAAGAATAAGCGCTCAGAATCAAGGGAGCTTTGGCCAGGAGAATCAGTACATCAATTGAGTGACTGATCATTATTTGTCATGATCTGTAAGTGACATCATAATTGTGTACTAGTTGATCAATGTACTAGTAGCTCTTGATGCGTGTACTTAACAGATCCTCTAATAATGTAGTCATAATTGTGATCAGTGCATGTATTGAATGTATTAATTCTATTGACACTTAATACTTACTATTTAATACATGTACATATTTATTTGTAATAATATTTGACAGTGAAAATACTGTAGCATAGGGATAACTTGTGGTACAGGTATTTCACAGACAAGGGAGTGAAAGTTAAGTGATAATTACTTATGTAGAACACGGGTATGTATTTAATAGATAAGTAATTAACAGATAAGATAAATGTAAGATAAATAAGATAAGTTAATAATAATGATAAGATAACAAGAGGTAAAGGTAATCAACATTATGGATAAGTACTTATGTACATAAGTACAGGTGTTGCAGTTACTTGGTACATGAAAGGTACTGTGACATGTACTCTGTGGCTGACATGTCTGGATCAAAGACAGCCTAGACTATATACAAACTGAGTTTTGATAGAAGCATAAAGACTAGTCTATAAGCATATCCAACAACTGGAGCACTTCCCATCGGATCTGCAGGGCTCACAGATTTGTTTTCACAAAGAATAACTCTAAAAGTCTAAATATGTTCTTCTGTTTTCCTCACTTTGTAAATTTAAACCTCCATCTTGTAATCCTTAATTGCCTGCTTATCATCAACCTTCACAAACAATCTTCTATATCCCAACCTCACATCAATGGTGCAAGCAATACAGGACATGTGTTTGTAGTGGCCACGTATTGTACTTTCCAAGTTTGCAATTCCACATGATGGTATTGTATTGATCCTTAAGTATGCGACAATGTATTTTTACATAAGCATCCTTCCCCCATAATTGAATACACCATATTTGTAAGATTATGTATTTGGGAAAAATACAATAAATAACTAACCCGTAATTCCATGTACAGTGGGTGGACTGTTATTTTTGGCTGCTTGTTTTGGATCCCAGCACTTCAAAGCACTAGATTGAAGTCATGAAACTTGGTCAAGTTGTTCAGAATAGGTCCCATAAAATGAAAATTAATAAATAAAAACAAAAAACAAAGTTTCAAAATCTGTGAAAAACAAAAAATGAAAACATTTTTTTCCAAAAGCTTTGATAGTCATTTTGGGGGAGTGGGAGTACTGGAAGAAAGAAAGAATGAAAAATGTGAAGAATGATTATAAATGAAAATTCTCAACAAATGGTTACCAGTTGGTTTTAAACAGCTGTTGAGTAGGGCATTCACCAGCTCACATTGTTGTAAAGCACTAGAATTTACTGTTTTGGATCCACTCTGGACAGCCAACCTGGCTCACCCTTTTTGGTTCCAATTTTTTCATTTATAATCATTCTTGCCATGTTCCACTCTTTCTTTCTCTCAGCACTCCCACTCCCCCAAAATCAATAACAAAGCTTTTGGAATTTTTTTTTTTTTTTTTTTCACAAAGTTTGAAACTTTGTTTTTCGTTTTTATTTTTTTCATATTCATTCTTTGTGACCTATTCTGCACCAATTCACCAAGTCTTGTGACTTGAAGTTTGTGCTTTGAAGCTGTAGACCCCAAAACAAGCAGCCAAAAATAACGGTCCACCCACTGTACATGTAAGTTAGAAAAAATTAAATAATTCAAAAATTTAAAAAAATGTAATTTAAAGCCATTGGGAGAAAATACACTGAATACACTGAATACCGTATTTGTATTGTACTAAATTCTTATACAATACAAAAATATTTTGAATTGTGAAATTGCTGGATGAGTACAATGTACTCATATTGTATTTGTTGACCAGGGTGATACAATGTATTTGAATACACATGTACTCAAAAAAAATACAAGACAATGTAGTGCAGATACAAAATTTGTATCATATTGGTTGCACAGTTGTATTAGGTCTTCTAGTTTGATTTAGGGGGTTGGAAAAACGACTCCCAAAAATTTGACGACAACTCCCATTTTGGTCGAGGGGTCGTCGGACGGGAGTCGTCTTTCCAATTCCCCCTGGGGGATTGGGAGTTGACCTCCCAATCCAATTTAATTTTTTTTTTATTTTTTTGGGTGGGAGTCGGCGCCCAAAACCTCCTTGGCAAGTGGGAGGTTTGGGAGTCGCTTCCCTCCTACTGGCCGGGAGGGATTCCCTCCGGTCATTGAGACTGTACAGTCTCGATGACTGGAGGGAATCCCTTCCGGCCATCGAGATTGTATGGTCCCGATGACCGGAGGGAATCCCTTCCGGTCATCAATGGTCTCGATGACCGGAAGGGATTCCTTCCGGTCATCAATAGTCTAATTCGAATCGTCTCGATGACCGGAAGGGATTCCTTCCGGTCATCGAAATTGCAATGGTTTCGATCTTCCGGTCATCGAATGGTCTTGATGACCGGAAGGGATTCCTTCCGGTCATCGAGACTGTGGAGTCTTGATGACCGGAAGGGATTTGTGAAACCTCGCCACACACAGGTTTCACAAACATCAAGCTTACATAATCTTCAACTAATAAAATCCCTTCAGCTCCCCTTGTCCTAGCTCGGTAGAGAACTACTGTCTTCTATTCTACCGAGCTAGGTGAGTTTTATGGTTTCTTGTTCTTCTTTCATTCCTATTTCTTTCATTTCTTTCTAATCATTCTAAAGGTTGTTGATTGTACTGAGAGAACTACTGTCTTCTATTCTACCGAGCTAGACTATTAAAATTAAAGATATACATTGGTTCTAGAAACGTTCTCTCCCGGCTACATTGCCGGTCTCGACGATTTATAAGTACGATAGTGAAGGGTCACAATGCGACTCTTACACTTTTTTTTTCTCGAACCTGATTATTGACACTTGTCACCAATTGATGACAACTCGATCCAACCAAGAACCACTCTTCCCTTTAAC